AGGCAAATTTTATGCAAAAGTCATCCAATGACGATCCAACACTTCTGGAAAAGATATCAATCAGTTATTTCTTGTCGCGTTTGATTTCCTACTTACGAGAATTCTTTTTCGCAATCACTTATATCTAACTAGCGCACGACTCGCACCTACGGTGCTCCAAAAAGATAGTTGAACGTAAAAAGAGCTTTCTAAATTATGTAGTAAAACAGCGGTAACTAATACAACCGTGACGAAAAACTGAGCTCATCTATCATGGGTTTCTTTTTCATTAACAAAACGTCATATCTCGAAAACAAAAAAAGTTTGAGCTGAGGAAACAGGAATACAAAACTGCCACCCTCTATTGGAACCTGACAGCAATCCACCTTATGGTTGAGCATATCGATTTATATAAGTTGTTTTTAAACTTAAGCTTAATTTGAAAAATTCATAAGAAACACACTCGGAAACAAAAAAAAATTGAGCAGTATAATTTAGAGGCTGGACTTTTACCCTGAAAAAACCCCCTGAAAAAACCCTGCCAAAACCCCACTTTTAGGGATGAGAATTTCAAGATCGGTTAGTTTTTTTTATTCAATTTTTTTGAAATCAAATTGAAAAAATCAGAAAAAACGCGATGTCTTGATAACCAAAAGGATTTCAGCAGTCAAACTTGACACAAAAGAATAAAACCTCTGAGTGTACCCTGACAGCACCCTACCATAGGGTTGGGAAACTCAAGTTCGGTTAGTTTTTTTCTATCTAAAATTTGAAAAAAAAAAAGAAAAAATCATCAGAAACGCCATATCTCGAAAACCAAAAAGATTTGAACTGTCATACTTGGACGCCAGATGGGCAAACCCTAAATTTATTATGACAGCATCACAATATGGGGTTGAAAAAATCAAGTTCGTTTAGTTTTTTTAGTATCTAACCTCTTTGGAAACAAACAAAAAAATCATAAAAACTACACATTTTCACGACCAAAACAATTTGAGCAGTCACACTTGCACGACAGATTTGCAACTCTTAAGTTTACCCTGACAGCTCCCCAATATAGGGTTGAGAATTTCAAATTCGATTAGTTTTTTACTATCTTAAGTTTTCAAAAAAAATGTAAAAATCATCACAATTGAAATACCTCAAAGTTACTTTGTTTTTATACCTAAGTTTTTTTTTAAAAAAAAGAAAAAATCATAAAAACGCAGTTTCTCAAAATCCAAAGGATTTGATCATTGACACTTGGACGACAGATTTGCAACCCCTGAGTCTACCGTCACAGCACCCCACTTTAGTGTTGAAAATTTCAAGTTCGGTTAGTTTTCTTTCTATCTAAGTATTTTGAAAAAAAAAAACATGAAAAATTATCAGAAACGCCATGTCTCGAAAATCAAAAGAATTTTTTAGCACTCGTACTTGAACACCAGACTTGCAACTCCTGAGTACACCCTTACAGTCCCCCGCTACTTTAGCGTTTAGTTTTTCAAGTTCCGTTAGTTTTTGAAAAATCATAAAAAAACGCAATATCTCAAACGTCAAAAGGGTTTGCGCAGTCATACTGAGACCCAAGATTTCCAACTCCTGAGTGCAACCTGACAGCAGCCTACTTTAGCGTTGAGATTTTCAAGATTGGTTATTGTTTATATAAGTTTTTTGAAACATAACAATGAAAAATCATAAAAACGCCACTTCTCGAAAAACCCACAGGATTTGAATAGTCATATTTGGACGCCAGATGTGCAATCCTTGATGGTACGCCCTGACAGCCCCCCATCAAAAAGTTTAGCAATTTCTTTTCGGTTAGTTCTGATAAGTTCATGTTTAAATATGGCTGCATCGTGCAAAAGAGCGTGCAATCATAATATCAGGAGTCGTTCAAGTATTTTTCCAAGGAACACTTTTGGATACCAATAAAGCCGACATAAGGTCTCAACTTAATTAAAAAGTCGCAAATATGATTTTCAGAACTAACAAAAACAAGAAAAAGCTAGTAAAGTTTTCTTTGGTTAGAACTGTCATAATACGTTTGTTGTAAGGACTTAACATTTCTTGAATTCTTTCTGAATGAAATGGAACGACTCAATTTTTCCCAAATTAACTGTTTTTTTTTCCAACGCCTCTCCAACCAGCTAAATAACAGCCAGTGATGACAAAAGATACCTAGCAGATATTTCAGACTTTTCTAACTTCCGGTGGTAAAAAACTAAATGAACTACTGGAAACAATTTTGTTTTGGCGCTTTTTTTAATATTCCTTTCTCCACTATCGAGAAACACATCATACTGTTCTTACCCGGCTTGGAACTTTGAATTTTTTGTATGGTTGAAAACCATCTAACTTAAATCAATTAATTATCAATATCTTAAGTACACCAAGTTCCCTCTAATTTAATTTATCTCATTTCAAGTTTTGACAAAATTTTCGTTTGCTATAACTTGCCCAGAAACGGCCGCCGCCTTTAAAACGTGATTTCAACTGCCTTTTCACCATAAAATACAGCTCAAGTTTACGAAATAGTTTACTGCTGCCAACAGTTAATCTACGCTGCCAAATATTGTTTTTATTTCAATTCTTAATAAGCATGCGATTAAACTTCGACGGTCTCATCAGCGGCAAATTTGATGTTTTTCGATAGGGAGATGTTCCATTGTTACAAAACAATTTTTTTTCTTTACAAAACAATCAATTAATTTTATCGATGGCGACGAAAGTGTCTAACTTTTTAGATTGCCAGCAATAACAGCCAATCGATTGGTTGGCTTTCTTGCACAACTTAATTTGAGTCTGGTTCTGTCGTCTTTACCGTATGTTGGAAGTTTCTTTCTCGTAGACTTGCCCTTTTTGCTGTAGTGTTTGGCTATCTGCTTAAGGGCTGCAGATAATGTATTGTATTCCCTCCCCGCCGCAAACTTTTGGTCCAGCTAACGAGATCTATTTAAATTGGTCAAAACACGGCACGGCCCATTAGTCAAATTGTGACTGGATCAAAACTTAATTGTAATATTGTAATAATTAAGTTTTGCGATATCTTTTGTATGGTGACAAAATTGACAGAGTTGCCTTTTTAGACGCGCTGATCCTCGGTTGATGTTGTTTGGTCACTAAAAACGCGACTTATTTCAATTATCAGTCAAAAAGTTTCGAATAATATAATTGCATGCATTTGTCGATCATACAACTAAAAGTTTTGATCCGGTCAAAGCCATTTATTGCTCAAAATTTTTGTTATATATTCTTTGCATCAAACCAGGGTACTTAATAAATTCATCGCATCTTTGCGTTTACCCGGGTTGACCTCACACGGATAATCATGCCTATATCAACAGTATACCATGATAGCCGTATTTGCAACACTGAATTAAGGAGAATTCAAGGAAATTAACAGCAACATTATATTGATAGCTCAAGTAATTTTTTATCACAGGTTCAGACAAAAATCAAAATGATTCAATTGCGTAGAACATTACAGGAACATTATTTTTTTTACTATAGTGAACTTTGCTATGTTTTTAAAGTCCGCTTTCTGGAGTAATAGAGCGAAGGTGGCGACAAAAATTTGTCAGTAAATCTTTATAACTCTTTGTTCCTTGTCCCCAAAAAAAGTAACTTTTGTAAGTTGACTTTAAAATTGTCAGTTTGAAAGCATGTTCTCGTTTTCTCAGACTACAAGGGATGTTTTTAAAATAGTTAATAAGATTATAGCGTCATACTTTATTGGTCTTCTGTCACATTAATATGGTATTCTTCATTTGTTTGGAAGAATAGGGTGGTTATAAAATTGACGATAATTACGATACTAAAAAAGAAAAAATTGATAGATCTGCAGATAATGTATAATTTTCCCCCGATGACAAGTACTTTGCGCAATTAACAAAATCTTATTTAACTAGTCAAAACACCGCCAATTATGCAAGTTATGACTTAATCAGTACAGAGCAAAATATCATTTTTTGCGTGAATTGTCGCATGGTGACAAAACCTAATTGAGTATGTTAGTGATTTTTAGGCGCAATGATCCTGGGTTGATATTTTTTTTGCTCACTCTCTCTGAAAACGCGACAACATACAACATATTTGCAGTCTGCAAAACTGATTTGTTCAACGTTCAGTCAAAAAAAAATGAATAAAATAGTTGAATTCGTCGTGCATTCAACCAACCTTTTGACCCGGTCAACGTCAATTTTAGCTCAAGGCTTTTCGTAATAAATATTTTGAATCATTGCGTTTACCCGGGTAGACCTCACAAGAATAATCATGCCTGAAACAACTTAATGCCATTGTAGTCTTAAGGGATTAGGGAAAATTCGATGAAATTCACAGCAGTATAATATTGATAACTGAAAAAAAAACTTTCCATCAAAGGATCATAGACAAAAATCAAAAACTTCGTCAATTTTGATGCTGTTGCCTCAGAATAATCCGGACACAGTAATTCATTACTATGGTGTATTTTTTGCTTTGTAAACTCAGCTTTCTGGATTAATCAATTGAAGAAGTATAATCAGGTTAAGAGGCAACTTACATAATTGAAACTTTTACAATTTTCTTTCAAATGAACATTTCGAAGTGTTATTTTTTTGTATACTTTTGTCCCCGAAAAAAAACTGAAGTTATTTAAGCTGGTTGCCGTTAGAATTTCTGAAAATTAAATGAAAGTATTTCCCCATGAATTGCTATTAATTACTTCTTGGCCAGTGTATCTGGAAACCGGTACTTTTTTCTTAAAACAAACGAATTTTTTTTCTCTCTGGGTTGTAGAAAAGTATGAATCACAGCATCAAAGCATGCTTTCTTTTTTCAAAATGCGATGTTTATTATGGTCTATGTCTTTCTAAGTCATTGGTCTTCTGTCGTCAGTATGGTACTTTTGTTTTGGTGAACTACTTATGTTTATAAAACTGAAATAAGTTACGGTAAAAAAATAAAAAATAACGTCGTAATGAGTTTTGTTAACGTGCTTCGAATGTCTTTAGACTTACGAAAATTTGACAGCGTAATGAGGCTCGGTAACGTGTTTCAACGGTCTTACAACTGACGAAAAGTTGACGTCGTAATGAGTTTTGTTAACGTTCTTCGACGGCATTAAAATTTATACTCTTAAATCGTACTGAGTTTTGCATTGATTTTCGAATAATTTTGCGTTATGTTCAACTCAATCAGCGTAAAAAAATACTTACATTTTTTAAACTGAAAAAGTGTATACATGAAATAAAAGAAGCCAAATCTCAATTAGTTGTATAAAAATTGCGCTTTCCACTCATCGCCACGTTTTATATTTTACTTCACTTGCCATACACATTCCAAAACGAATTAGAACTTGTCGCCCGAACTACTGTTGACAAACAGAAATTATTCTAGTTAAAAGTGATTCGAACCCAAAGTTTAAAACGTAAGTACAAAATTTCTTATTTTAAAGCCATCACTCATTCAATTGCTAAAATTTCAGTTCAGAAACGGTTTCCCGTTTCTCAATAATGCAATTTAAAAGCTTCGACAAGAAAATTTTGTTTTTAATTTGTTTAAGTTTCTCAAAAAAAATCATACATACAATAACCGACGATCAATCATAAACAAAACCATCTCATGAATTGAAGTGCTAGATAGCTAGGACAACAAAAAACACAATTTCGAGATCGGTTTTTTTAGTTATTGTTGGTAAATCTGAAAGTAAGATAACTAATACTGAATATTTTAATTGCTAAAACTATCTTACTACTTTTTATCGAACGAGATTGAGACAGGTATCACAATGAAGCCCTATTATCTGAAATTGCGATTCCCAAAAAAGGAAAAATTTCTCTCAGGATATGAAAAAAAAAACACTTTTGAAAGCCACAAGTTTTTGTTGCAGTATACACAGTTCTCATCCATGAAAGGGAAAGTGTTGATTGGACTCAGCAAAGATAACGATGAACCACCCGTGTTTCTCCCTTTCAATATCAACAGTGAAAAACTTCCGGAAGAAATTGCAGAGTGTTTTAAAAGAAATCGCCCGCCTGAGTTCCTGTATGATGTAACAGGCAACCGAGAGAGCAGGAACGTCAAGGTTTTACTAGAAAATACCGAACTTACTGAAGGGAGGCACTACTTGTGGGTCGTTGAGGACGAGGCTCACTGGCAAGACAAAACACTAGTTCAGAATGCTTTGTTTTGCTCAATTGCAGCTTACCAGATAAATCCATTAGATTACTTAAATGACACAAGAAACTATCATGGAGTAAAATTACTGATAGCTGCAAATGTGAAGTTTGGCAAACAAATTGCTTCCTTGTTCATTGCTTCTACTGACCTCCCTTCTGAAAATGAAAAAATGTTGATTGTGGCATTCAGAGGAACGTCTACAAAAGAAGACATCAAATCGGACTTGCAATTTGGACTGGAGACCGACGAGACGTTTGAAGGAGAAGTCCATGGCGGCTTTTTGGAACGCATGAAGAGCGTTCCTGTTGAAGAAATTCTCAGTTTGGCTTTAAGATTGCAAGTCAAATTTGTTGTTACGTGTGGTCATTCTCTGGGAGGAGCAGTGTCATCGTTGGTAAATATTAAGCTAAAAAAAGAACTTGAAGTACGTAATTGGACCAGGCGGTTCTCAAATAATCTAATAAACATTACCTTCGGAGCCCCGATGATAGGAAATTACGCCTTCGCACAATATTTGAAAAAGAACTATTCAAAAAAGATGTACAATTTCGTGTCCGATAGGGATGTTGTTCCAGCTTCGCTTTTCATTGGGTATGGCCTGCAGTGCATGAAAGAAAAAAGCAGAGGATTTAGTAAGTATGCCTTAAAGACAGCGGTTAATTATTCCACATCTTGCTACCAGCTTCTTCTGAAAAGCTTGAATTTTGATGTCGATCCTGAGAAAATCAAAAATGCAGTGAAGGCGCTTAAAGAAGTGCATCATGAACCTAACTATGTACCTATTGGAAATTACTTGCTCTTTCACGAAACGTCGGGCAGAATTGAGCACTTGAGTAATGACCAAAAAACTCTTGTTAAACAAATTCTTCAAAAAACAATTGATTTTGCATGCGATAATCCATCTGAGATCACAAACTGTCACTCAATTGAGAGCTACTTCGACTCAATTACTCGCTCTTATGATGGTTTTGTGACATTTAAAAATCGTGAGCGCAAAATCTTAATTGAAAAGAATCACAGCAAAGATTTTTTTGGTGAAGATGGCCTCAGCTACAGATTCGACAGCGTCTCTTCGTTCAACTGTGGTCATGAAATGTGCGCAGATCCTAAGCCTGTTTATGTGAAAAAGCAACCGGTCTCAATCTGCCATACATGCAAGGTCGATCCTACAGCCACAGAACATTTTTATCACGGAAGCGTTTGTCGTCCAATCGTGCATAAATTGAACGAACATCGCCAAATTTTGAAAGAGTTGGACTGGAGCAGATTCAAAGATAGACCCAAAGAATTTGAGTTAATTTTCGCCGATCCCAAAAAGGTCTATCTAATGAAACTTCTCCTTCAGATTTTCCGCAAGCTAATCCTTTCACTTGGAGGCGTTTTGCTTTTGATTATCTTTGTAATGGCTGTGGTCTCTCTGCTGGACTGTTTCTGGATCATATCTGGTCATGTCTATCTCATATTTGTCTTTGAATTTCTTTTTTCAAAAGACTGGATTGAAAAAGGATTCAAAGATGTGATTCTGAGACCATGTATTGGATTTTTCGTTCTTGCGGGAACCTATTGTCTACTCATGTGTCTGAAAATCTCCATATCGCGTGCAACTGAGGACGAGCTAAAAGCTAGCGTAATAGTTGACGCCTTGCGGCTTCTTGAAGTTCCGCTGCCAAACACTAAATTTGAAGACATACGTAAGGACGACGTAATGAAGTGTTTCAGAAAGAAGGCTCTTTTGTTCCACCCAGATCGACAAATCGAACTGAGCGAAAATGCGGCTCCAGAAGAAAAGAAATCACAGAAAATAAATGAAACAGAAAAGAAGGAGAATGAGGAGGCAATAGATGCGATTGATTTCTCTCGAAACATCCTGGTATCCTATTGCAGGAACCCTACCATTCTCTCGAATTCTGTTGTCGAGATTGTACAGAAAAATTTGGAATACTTTCTCTTCGATCCGCCGATCCCTTTGTCCATACAACTAGGAAAGGGCATTTATCCTCCTGAAAAAACTGAAATAAAACCAATTAATGTGAAAATTAAGACTTTGAAAAAAAGGAAAGCGAAAAGTACACAGTCGTATACCACGGAGAAAAAGACTTAAATGACATTATGAAGAAAAAATATATATTATTTCGTGCGATGACGCTATGAAAAGTGGTATTTAACAGATTTCTCGGTTTTAAATATAGAGTATTTGCCGAAACTGGCTATCAATACCATAAGCAACATTTTTGGTAGGATTGTCTAAAGCTAATTCATTTTACACCACTTTTCTCATAGCGATGTGTAAATATGCATTTCATTCTGCTTAAACTTATTTTTAATTGATATATAATTTCAAATATGTACATATAATGCCGTTGTTGATTTGTTCTTTTTCCAATTTTAAAAAATCTTCTTTTTTCATTAAATTTAAGAATTCGGAAATCTAAAGCTGATTTTGAACGAACAGAATACATTTATTGCGCTTGTTCGGAATTTCAATTTTATCCTCGCTTCCCGATTTTGCTTTATTAGATTTTATGTATAATTAACCAATCAAGATTCATAACTAATCCCTAACTGTTTATTGTAAAAATTGAATGGTAAATTTGTAAAATTTAATCTGGAGATTTTGTAATAAAAATGTTATTTCTCCAAGCTCAATTTCCAGTTATTCTTGATGTAATGAGGCATAAAGAAATAAAGATAAGACTAAGATCAGTCATAGATTAAGGAGTTCTACAAATCTAGCCAGCCGATGACAGAAAACGTAACTACCGTACCAGTGTTCAATAAGAGTAAACCACTCTATGAGATTGTGATATATATATTTTTTCCGGACGTAACTACTCGATGCTAACTGGAAATATCTCATTTATTGAGAACTACGAGTCTAGCTAAAGATTGATTTAATGCACCTCGATATGTGAGTTACAAAAAAGACTCGATATCAGTTAGTTTACAAAAAAACTAGCCTAGCAAAAAACGTGATGTGCAACTCCATTCGATACAAACAAATATTTTTTGTTTTAGTTTATCCATTGTTTTAAGAAATTCCTTGCTTTGGAAAGTCAGCCGACAAAATTAAGCAGACAAAAAGTGGTTCGACAATTTAAATTTTGCCAGAAAAAAAACAACACTATCTTAATTTTAAAAAAAGAAACAAGGTATGGCTCGCAAGGTACGCGCTTGGCTACAAGACCAACTAAGAAAAAGACCAACTAATCAGATAAATTGAATAGGGTCAAAAGTACTAATTACAAGTATTCTTGCCCCCTCAATTAAACGCAGAAACATGGCTCCAGAAAACTCCCATTTGAACCAGCGAGCAGTGATAAAAAGTGATAAAGAAAAGGAGGAAATGAAGATAAAAAGAGATATTAGTAAACTTTTCCAACGTGCCGGTTTCGAGTAAGCGACAACATGATTTGGTCTCAGTCAAAAATGAAGCACAAAATGATTCCTAGGTACAAAATGACTCATAATTACAGGGATTTTTTTAAAATGGGAATTGCATGAATCTTTTTTTATTTTTGTAGTGTAGATCGTTACGGTTAAGAAAAAAAGTTGTTTCTTTTACGTTTTACCTCTAAGTTTAGTTATGAAGTAGAGCTCGCGCATTCTTTTACAATTTTGTACCAAGAGATCGTTTAGTTATCAATTTGTCTCATTGTTACTTTAACAATAATTAAAATAAACAAGACTGCTCGTATCAGGGCGAAGCCCTGAATGTTCCGACTGCCTTTAAGGTTTATGGAGCAGCAGTAATAACCTATAAAAATTAACTGAAATAAAATAAAACGAAAAATTTTTTTCTAAAATTTGAAATTTTTTAATGAAAATCATCCCCCCACACGCCATATGAAGTACAAAAAGAGAGATTTCGTTCCTTGTAACAAATCAATTAGGGGAAATAAGCTTCGTTCAACCAATTTGGAACGATTTATAAGACGGAGTAAATCTCCGATTACGCTTTAATAGCGCGAGTTATATCGCGCGTTAATTGTCCCAAATTGGCCAAAATGGCAATCTTTAAACTTTACGAAAAATGATCACAGGTAAAATATCTTTTCAAATTTAAGTTCAGGACAACAGTGGCTTTCGAATGATATAAAAAATTCCGTCAAAAATGGCTAGTTAAAAAGTCGAAATTTGTCTGAAGAAAAAAACCCACCCCGAGCACAAATATTCCGTTACTTTTGTATCGAAAGTCGGAACAATAAAAAGTATTCTGTTGTCACTTTTTAAAATTACATTCTTTTTTTACTCCACTCATCAAGCTCAACTTGAAATTTAGTTGACAACTGAATCATGGAATGAAACAATAAATAAGCGGCATATTTATTTTATCAAAGCTAAGGAGAGACAATATCGTGAGGATGTCAACTTGGTAGCCAAGTTTTCAGGGGCATTTCAAAGTATCTGTGACTTCATAGCAACTTCTGAATATTATACCAGCTCTGTTCTATAAAGGTGTTATTGACAGGTTTTCACTTTAACGCCAAAATACAAGTTTTGAATAGATTTTAGCTCTTCAATTTAACTGCATTTTGTTGATTTTTTGCTTCTGTTCCCAGAACTCTCAGTAGCTTTACACTTTTCTCTATCTGCGTTCGGCAAATAAGACGACAGCCGTTTTTGGCAGGGTTTCAAGACGACATCGTGCCAAATTCTCTTATTGTGTTTCTGAGAAATAGAATTCGCAGTTCACTTTACACGTTTTAGCTTTCATTTGTCGTCTTCAAGTCTTGTCGTCTTATGTATTTAAAATCTTTTCTAGCGTCACAAGCTACCACTTGACTGTATATCTGAATAACAAGAATCAGCCACGTGAATATTAAAATCAGACATATATAAAAATATATATATTCAACTTGATTGATTGACAATGTTTAGCATCAGCTAGGATGAATAACACTGTAAATAAACAAAGATATATTTGAGTAGTTTAGAAAAAAGATTTAAGAAAAAAGTTTTTTTTTGTTATGATGCTTTCTCGGAATGCCAACGACAATAATTGAAGAAGAATGTATGGCACAAATTAGTTGGTTAGGCGTGCTTAAGTTAAATTAAATTCACGTGTTTCAGTCTCTTGTGGTTTGATATTTGTCTCCGGACTTTCAATTTTGTACGCCTTCTACCCTCTTTTTCCGCCTTGATGTCTAGAACAACCACAATTACCTAAATTTTGCAAAAAGATTTTAAGTGAACACACTTTAATTCTCACATTTAATTTCAACAATTCATTCAAAAATTGACCCTCGAACTGAATGACGGAAAGGGAGCTGATAAAAATATGAACTGATTAATAGCAACTTATTACATTTTTCGAATCGAAACTTTTATCTCTTTACTGTCACATTTGCTGAGCGTCCACAATAATCTGCGCGCGAATTTGGACTCAAAAATAAACATATTCACGCCAATTTTTCTCGAAAGGGATACAACTCTTTTTTTGGATTCTTTTTATGACTGATATGACTCAATATGATACAAAAATTAGTCTCCAGGTTCTCATTGATGTATCTAAAATTGGGCGATAGAAAACTAACTGATGTCATAGTTCCTTACATTCACTTTGCGACATAGTCAGAACAATATGAAACGGCTCAGCATTATACGAGACAATATACAAAGAAGCAGATAGGCATATACGAACTCAAGGAGACAACAAAAATTAAATTTCTATTGGGAAAACGATTGGGTTTTTTTTAAATACTTCAATTATTGAGCTTCAAAGAAAAACTAAATCGCCTAAGAGGAACTAAGCTCTGAAATTTTTTGATTGACATTTCCTTTGATAAGACAAACCCAATTTAAAACTGGATCAGCCGGCAATTTTTTGTCGTTAGAAAATTTAAGTGACTTTTGAGACCAAAAACCATTAGCCTTCATTTTAGAAAATGAACCTAACTTGAATTTGCAAGAAACAAAAAAAAATGAATGAAAAAAGATAAAATGGTACCAACGAATTAAGTGATTTCACTTTGTTCGTTGAAACTAACTAGAATCGAATGTTATCTATCCCTAAATTCAATTCTTAGTCGGCGGTACTGTTTTCACAAGCGATTTTTAAAAAAATAGCCAAAACTAACCAAAAATACTGCAAATACTTTTTATCTAAGTGAACAACGGCAGCCCTAAAAGAAGATATTTGCCAATCGGGATCGTGTTTTGGTTGTTGCCCTTGAGACAAAATGACCACAAAAAGTTTGATAGTTGGCAATTTTCTATAATACTATTGAAAATCTCTTTCAAAAAGCCCAAGCTTCAGCAAGTTCTGATTTAGTGGCCACAATTATATCGAGTTGGCAGAAACTTGAGCTCTCTTTTTGTTCTTTGACTTCATATGACCATCAGTTTTATCTACTGGTATCAATTTTTGCAAAGAAACTGAGTTATGACATATTTCACTCATGTAATAAAAAGTGTAGAGAAAAAAATCTGAGTGTGAGTAAACAAGTCAAACTTGCATGGTTTTCGTATCTGCTATGAAAAAAAATTTGACAATTAGTTAGACTTAGTCTTAAATTTTTGAAGTATTTCCGAACCTGATATTTTTCAAAATTGCACTCGAGCTGTCAAAAAAGTGATGCCAAACGATTGTGTTTTTTCAGAGATGTCCATTTTTGATTACTTTCAACAACACATTGATCTGGAGATTTGTTATATTTATTATGAAGAGCAATTGACCTATATCGGAAAATTTTGCATGCAGACAGAACTTTTGGCTCACTCAAACTTGTCCAAAACAAAACGAAATTGCTTGCAAAAAGTTGTCAAAATGGGACAATTGCTCTTTTTATTTAACTTTTTCTATAGGAGTCTTTTGCAATGGGAACACTTACTGTTCAACTGTGGAGTTTTAAAAAACGAATTGAACCGAGTGTAATAAGACTCAAAAGCCAAACTAAGAAAAACAAAGTTTGAGCTTGAACACATTTTATAACTTTTGCTGAAAAAAAAAACACATCACGACCTATAAAAAATACAAAAAGTGTAATCAATTGCTATCCAAAAACAGCAGGTTTCCTGACTATGATGCTTGATGCAGCAAAAGAAAATTCCATGATATTTTCCGACATCCGAAATACAATTATGTGAAACTATGAAACAAAATACCCTTAACTAGAGTTCTTCACCACATTCCGTGGCAATAAC